ACTGATGATGCAGGACTTCTACAGCCCTGAAGGGTGGAGAATTGGTGGTGGTATTTGAGCTGGGCCTTGACAGGTGACTTAGACTTGGTCTCAGAACTATTCTGGTGCAGGAACAAAGTGATCCAAGTATGTCAGTGACTCAGTGGTCAATTTCTGTTAAAACAGATGAAGCCCTACCCAGCATAGGCTCCACCTAAGTCCACTTATTCTGATACTTGTACTAATGAGAGTTTCAGCCTGGGCCACAACATCAACAGTTTTCCTTTGAGAGTTGCTCCCCTCCTTTAACATTAACAGTTGTTTGCTTCCTAGAAGTCTATGTGGTGGTCATCTGTCTCTGCCCTTGAAAGGCTTTTCAAGCGTTCAACAAGTCTTCCCTGCACAGCCCACAAAACAGATTTTTCATAATGCATACTGCTGCATCCCACATATCTGCTTAGTGTGTATCGACAAACTACTGCCTGCTGAGGAACCACTTTTTCTTTTTTTAATTTTTTTTTTTTGGTACCAGGGATCGAACTCAGGAACTTGCCATGCAAAGCAGGCAGTGGAACCACTGAGCTAAATCCCGGGCCCTGATGAACCACTTTTAAGTGTTGAACGAATTGAACTGTTAAGTATTTCAGCCACATTCATGATACAGATATATATGTACACATGTAAAGGCATCAGGTATAACCCTGTGGTCCATGATTTTTATGAGTTTGATATTCTTTGGCAATTTTTTTCCTAAATTTTTTTATTTTTTGTGTTACTAAATTTAGTTATTATAAGATACTGAATCTCAAACAAGTTATATTGTGCTTGGTCTCACTCTGCAAACTTCCCTTCAAGTTGAAGGGAGTATGGTCATGGAACAGCTGCACTTCTGATGCAGTGCACAGTGCTAGTTCCAGCACAGAGTTGTAGGTGAATAATAAGAAATAAAGTGATGTTAACTGGGCCTTTTAACTAAAATAAAATTAAAATAAAGAAAATTTTAACTCTGGAATAGAGAACATATGTAAGAAATATACTCTGTGGGAAAAATTAATCATAGAAATGGTACAGAAATAAAAAGGAAACACATGACCATTTCTTTACCTCAAGCCCTATATCAGTCCCCAGAAAATAATGCATAATGTTGGTTTGGTGTGCATTATTTCCAGATCTTCTCCTATATCTGTGCATGTGTGTAAACATGAATTTTAATAAAAATGAAATTCACTATATATTGCTCTGCAACCCACATTATACAAGGTAATTGGCTTTGCTCAAAGTCTACTGATTTAAATGTAAATCACTTATTTAATAATACCTTCACAGAAACACATACACTGGTGCCTGATCAAATATCTGGGTACCATACTATGGATTGTCCAAGTTGCACATAAAATTAATCATCATAAGTCCACCTGTAGTCAACTTGAAATCCATAGACATCTCTTTAAACCATACTAAATCTCCAAATAGAGACAATAAGATTATACTTCTGCCTAACAGGATACAGTTATCCTGTGTACAACTGAAAATGCACTAACCTTCTCCCCAGAATAGGATGCAAAGTACTAGCATGATGCTTGATCTCTCTTTCTTTTTTCCTTACACACCAGGATTGAACCCAGGGCCTTCACACAAAGCTACATCCTCAAATCTTTGTAGGATGCAGTGTGCTATTTAACACATTTATACAACACGCAATGATCAAATCAGGATAACTGGTATAACCATCACCTCAAACTTTTATCATTTCTTTGTGTCAGGAACACTCAAAATCCTCTCTATTATTTTGGTAAATTTCTGAGATACAACCAAACACAATAATTTTAAGGACAGATGGAAATGGAGGAAAGACAATGGTGTTTTCTTAGGACAAAAGTAGAAAAGCTGAATGGACTGGAAAAGAGGTTGACTTTGAGAAAAAAATGAGAATTTAATTTTTGTAAGTAGAATAGAAAAGTTTAATGGGATCTGGAAAGACAGATAAGGAGTTTATACTTGATTCATTAGAAAATTGTGAATTTGAAATTAACAGTTTAGAAGCAGAAAAATGATGTGATAAAAGTTTAAAGAAAGTAAGCCTGTCAGTGGCCTGAGAAAAGGGGGAAGGACTGTTAGAGTGATCAAGAAAGCCAATATTAAAGGCTCATTGAGCTGAGATGAACAGGAGGAAGCAGCAATGAGCACTGGGAATGACAAGGAAGAGACACGTGTGAATGATGCCTCAGTGAGAACATGGACACTTCCTCAAGTCTGGTGCACACAGGAATGCCTGGCTATGGGTATGGCCACCAATCATGAGCTCCCCTTCCCTGGAGATCTCTCAGCAGCCACATCTTCTTCTAGTTCCAGTTGGATCATCTGTCTGACTCAGTTTCCAATTTCTCCTTGGAACAAATCCCCCTTTAGGTCTCCATCTGTGGAGAATTTTCTTACCTAATTTTTGTTTCCTTTTATTAGCTATTCTTGCCCTCACCTGTTTGGGAGCACAGCATTTCCATATGGAAATGAGGAGAGCAGAGTCAAAGTTGCATAGGTACAAAGAAGAAATGCCTGAGCGGATTCATAAGGAGCCAGAGGATGCTTTTACTCAATCTCTGCTATTGCAATAACTAAAGTCTTAAAATTAAGAGTACATTCTCCTCACTGGCCCAGAAGGGGCATAGTATGGTGGGAGCATTTGCTCTTCCTGTCCCCCAACAGCATGTGTTGGGGGACAGGAAGACAAATACCTACTTCTCTTAGCTGTATTTAGAATAAGACCTTTTTTGAGTCAAAGATCATATTGATGGTTATCAAGGCCATTGTTTCTGTTTTGCCAAAAGAAAAAAACAGAACAGAACAAAACAAACACGCCAAAAAGTAAGCGTCACACAAAATCTTTCTGGTGCCTCCCCAGGTCTATGCACATCCACTCAAGGGCTCTGCTTGCCAGGAATGAGGCCCTCAGAACTTACCAAAGGGCAGCCATTCCCATCCTGGCCCCTTTCTTGTTGTCTCAGAACCAGGCTCATGGTCAAAGAGAGAAAAGCCAATGTTGTAAGGGCACAATTTGAAGGACAGTCCCCTTTTCCCATTCTGTGTGTAAGGCTCTATTCCAAGAGCTTGAAATTCCCACAGTACTCATCCTGTGGGTTAAGGTATTTTTTTTGAAAGCCCAAGTTGAAATGAAAATGCTGGCTGGATGGAAGAAATAGGGTTGTTTTTGTTGTTTGCTATTTGCCATTAGGAGTTAAATTTGAGATAATTTATATAAATAGGACATGAATTCAGAAAAGAATCACATCTGTGAATGGAGGAGGATGGATAGGGAGCAGGGTGTGTCCCTTGGTGAGGCCTCAGGGTCTTGATGGAGAGATGCAATGTGCTGAAAACACATTCTTCTTCCTCTACACACACTCAACGTGGAGTCTCTTTCCCAAACTGCAGCCTGAGTGAGTACCAGTGTGTGGTGCAGGGACAACTCTCTATAGGAGAGCAGAGAAGAAGGGCAGAGTCCAGTAAAGGCTCCTGCCCAGCCTATGCGGTTATGCTTCCTCTGCTCCCAAATGCTCCTAGCTATCTGCTTGGCCATGACAGGTACATGGCCAGCACCGGCTGGACTCTGGAAAACTGCAGGAGCCTCTCTGCCACCCGCCTCCCTTGGTTTAGACATGATTTTGCTCTCCTAGATTCTCACAGCCTCAATCTCCTGGCCCAGAGATACCTAACCTCAAACCCTATGTCTATCTGATTTTTGGAACATGGTGTTTGAACCTTGATTTTTCTCCTAAAGAATCACCTTTTCACCTTTCATGTTTTTTCCCTCCCACCTTAGCTCAATTTCATAAAATCCAGTCTTCACCTCTACCCAGGAAGGGACATCCACTATCCAGGGATTATAGTCATCAAAATATCAAACATAAAGACATAGTAACTAATCAGTCAGCATATTTACATAGAATTACCTTCTTTCATCCCAAGCACTGTTGTTAAAATCATGTTAATGACTTTTATTTAACTAGTATGATTTTCCCACTGGGAAAATAGAAGCTTCAAGGGTACAGCTTTCCTTTATGTCTTTTATGCTCCCTATTCAAAATCCAGTGCCTAGGACCCAGTGAGCCCTCAATAAACATCCTGAATACATAAATGAACAAAGATTCATAAAAGCTTCCATTAGACACTAGATATCTCCATAAATAACATTAATGATATATGTAGCAGCAAACAGTACCTATAATATAGAATTGCAAATGTGGATGCATAAATACACTCATTTTAGTCCAGGGCCTTAGTCCCAAGATTGAAGTTATTTGTAAGAGGAGCAGGCCATCTCCTTAATTATAAGTTGAGAGGAGTGGGAAGTTCCCTTGGCCAAAAATTATTTTCACCTGTCTCTCCAAAACCTTGCCTTACTATTAAGGGAGGTGATATTTTAGGCCTATTTGCAAATGCAAATGTGTTCAGAGTGTGGGGAGCATGTTAAACCACTGCCTGGACTCTTTTTGGACCTAAGAATATTTCTTTCCAAATGAGCAAGTGGTCTCTAATGTTGGGATGGGGCAGTTGGGGGGAAGAAATCATAGGAAAAGTTTTCAGAGAAGGAAAGCCAAACAGAAAAGCAGAACTACTGCAGAAAGGCCGTTGATATCACCTCCCTCCTCTAGATTTCCCACTCATACTGGGGCTCAGGCAGGGCCAGCATCCTTGGACAACTTCTGATAGAGCAGGGCTGCAAGGAACCCCCAGCACCCAAAGGCCAAGAGCAGCCACCAACTATTTGGTAAGTGGTATTTTCTATTTCCTGCCTGTCCTGTCTCCCGGTTCTCTCAAGCAGTCATAGGGATCTGACTGGGAGGGCCTCATTTTTGTCATATCCCGCTACCAGCATAGTCTGTGAATTAAGCCTGCTGGTCAAAGGTTTCAAGCATGCACTCTGCCCTCTCTCCTGTCCTTGCTAGCCATCAGCCCCACCTCTGCACATCTGCCCCAGATGCAGCTTCTCTCAGACCAGATTACAGGCTGCATAAAGGACTTACCTGTCACCAGTGCCCATCCACTGCAGCACCCAGAGACCAGACACATAAGCACAGCAGCATTCCCGAGGAACACAGGAGTAAGGGGTTAAGAAGAGATGAAAAGGAGCCTTTGCCAGCTCCCTGAGTCTTCTGACTCCTTGTAAAATGAGAAATAATCTCAGGACTGAGGCTCAAACACAGAAAGGGGAACTGACTAGACTGAAGCAACACCGCAGATGGGGGTTAGTGTTCTTTCATGGTTCCTGATAACTTCTACTGGCAGGTGGGCATTTCCACTGATGAGAATGACTACAAGAGCACCCTTGGACAGTGAGCTAGTGTAAAGCCCTGAGGAAACCCCCAAAGACAGCCCCATCCACAGACATGACAGGCACATTTCCTGGAGGAATTGTAGAGACCCAGGAGTGCAGTCTTTAAAGTCCATAGACACAGAGTTAGCTTTATTCAGCCAGTGTTTTACTGAGGAGCCATGTGCTGGCAATTAGTTGGTCCCACAGGGAGGCAGGAGACAGGTCTCAACTGGAGACAGCAGAGCCTGAATTATTCATTAAGCCCCTCTCCAAGGATACTGCTCGAAGCTAATTCGCCTATACAGCCCTCACTGTCAGAATTTCCTCTGTCCTCACTGTGGGAATTGAGAGAATTTCTTTTACTTTGGTCCACTATTCCGGGAAGTGAGTGGTACTTTTGAGTTGAGGGCAAGTCACAAGCAGAAGTGGGAAAGGTGTGTGAATGCCCAGTAGATTTTTCTAAACCTAGTGCTTCAGATGGGATGAGTGTCATATGCATTCATATACATATATATGTATATTTCTGCCCCAGGCCAGAGGCTCCTTTTTTGGTTCCAACCGAGCACTGCAAAGCCCTCTGCTCAGTGGTGGAGATATGGGTAGGTATGTGCCTCTAAGGCCTGCAACACTGGAGTCCAGAAGGAGGGAGGCAGCCCGAGTGACTGTTCTTCTTGCTTTCTCAGAGGCTGGCTGTGGCCTAAAGGGCTGGAGATATGAGAAAAGTGAGAAAGTGAAAGTTATTTGTTGTTGACTGGGTTGAGCAGGCTTGCCCATGAAAGGTATGTGGTATGGGGAAGGATTGTAGATTAGGAGCCGGTGGTCCCATGTCAAATTGTGGCTTGTTCACTGGACCCTGGACCAGTTATTGACCACCCTGGAGTCTCAGTCTTCCTCCCTATGAACTGTGACTAGTAATAGCTTTCCTGGCTGTGCTGTTGAGAAAGAAAAATGAGTTCTTGTGTGTTAATCATCTGGCACTGAGTCTGCCATGTAGCTGTTCAGTCTTCATGATTACTTTTCTGTTTTCTTTTGAGTCTTGCCCATATCTCATTCTGACCTTGCCACAAAGATCTTCCTCCTGTCACTAAACGGGTGGTGATCGTTCTTCACAAACAGACCTATAAACTTCTTTCCTTCCATCCACAGCTTCTGGAATCCACAGGCTCCTGCCTGGGTCCTGTCTCCCTGGGCCACTTTGCCTTGGCCACTCTGTGTGCATTTCTTGGAAATTTTATCCTTTATTCGGATAGGCTCCAGATGAAAACCTGGAGAGGAAAACCTGGGGTTTTCCTCTGGATTTTACAATCACAGCCTTCTTTTATTTGTTTTTGTTGTTGTTGTTGTTGTTGTTGTTGTTTGTACCGGGGATTGAACTCGGGTCCTTGCACTTGCACAGCAGGCGATGCAACCACTGAGCTAAATCCCCGGCAGCCTTCTTTTATTTGAAAGCATCTATGTGGTTTTCTTATTGTAAGACATGAGATTACCCACCTATCAGAGCACAGGAGAATTCATTCATATTTTACTTAATTTTCCAGGGCTCTGTTTTTCTTTATATTTTGCAGTTAAAATACAAGATAGGCTAAACTGAAAGTGCTGATATCAAAATATTTAAATCGTATTTCCCAAATCAGGAATTCTAGCCACTAGGATTCCTTCATTTTTATCTAACATCTCTACTATCATCTAGCATTTTTCTCTTAATTAAAATTTATTTGAAAAGAAATATTTAAGTTAATGCTAAAAATGTAGTAAACAGTATCCTTTGCCATAAATAAAAGATGAGTAAAAATAACACATCACATTGGGTTTGGAAATCACAGAGATCTGTATTCATATCCTGGCTCTACTACAACTACTTCTTACTGTTCCTAGGGAAGTTGACCTCTCTGAATCTTGGATTCCTCATAGAAGACATACTGTAATAAAAAGCTCACAAGCTTGCCATGAGGATTAAATAGGATGACAGAAATATGAGACCTCACATAAATCCTGGAACATAGTAGGTTCTTTTTCTTTTAAATGGTGTTTTCTTGTTTCCCCTTTCCCATATAATTTCTCTCTTCTACTCCAGTTCCTGCTTAGAGCAGCTTCCTCCGATGCTGTAACACAGAAGTATGCTAAAGGAAGTGGAGGGGGACAAGTGGTGAGGTGGGCAGCAGAAATATGGGACGATGTGGTGTCAGGGAGTTCTCTGACTCTATGATTGAGAGTTGCTTGGCTGTATGGCATTTCAGAAGCCATCATCCCAGCCTCTCTGCAAGGACCCCTCAATGTCATCTCTGCTAGATGCATGTCTAGTCTTTGCTCTCTCACCTGACATACTGAAAAATGACTACCTTATTTAAAAAGTTAGAAAAACTTTTAAAAATCATTACAAATCTACCACCCCTTACTTCCCAGATGCACAAGTGCCATATAGTTGGTCCTGTCTTGTTCTCTAGGATTATTAGAATATATTCTTGTACTTTTTTATATAAAACTGTCCACATACCTGAAAGCAGATATCATAAACGGTCCCTCAGCTAAATACTCTTGGTGTCTGAGACTGCACCTCCTGTGCACCACCTAGATGTGGTCTCTAGGATCCTAATCCACAGCAGCTCTCCCACCATCACCCTTGTCCCTGAGGGAGTTCACCTACCTCCTAGCAGAAGGGCTGGCAGCAACGGCATGGAACATGCAGCACAGAGATCGCTTTCGTTACTGAGTCAGAGATCGAGTCAACCTTATAACACATACAGGAGGTTGGTGGACCATGTTTCTTTTTTTTTTTTTCTTTACACAAGTCAGCTTGATTCCCCCATACACTGTCTTCTTTGTGTCAGTGTTTAGGGTCACCAGTGTTCAGCCAATCAGAAGACCTGTACCCCATCTATGTCATCAAAGCCAAGGGCTGGACAGAGTGCCATGGTGATGAAAAGGAGATTGAGCAGAATAAAAATCAGGTCCTTGTGGTTGGTGAGGAGGAAGTTGCTGGTAACCTCAGAAAGCTGCTTTCTATGTTGGCCTGCTTCCTCCACTGCTTCATCCCTGAATGTCCTCAGGCCCAGGCTCCAAGGAAAGCAGGGGGAAGGGGTTCTCACAGTGGCTGCAAGAAGATGGAGGGCAGATATTTTCCTGAACACCCAACAGTTGCCTAAGAAATAGTTCTCTGAGGACCACATGTTCAGGATCTATTATGTGTGACAAAGCCAGAAACCTGCAAGCAATTAGAAGCATCCAAATACCTAGCCAAAATTTCCCGTTTCAGCCATATGTTTGTTGCTCTGTATATATGACTTCCTGTGGCCTTAAAGTATTCTAGATGGTGGTGGAAATGTTGGTTCCAATATCGGACAAAGTTGTTTTCAGAAATAATAATGGCAGCATTATTTAGTGAAATGCTCATTAGTGTTTGTTTTCTAAACTTCCTTGACACGGAGATGGGGGAGCCGTTCAGGAGAGAGCCAAAGGTAAAGGCTCCTCTCGACATTTGTGAAAGCTCATGGAAGCAATGTTACAAGGGTCCTGTATTTTTAACTCTTCCTCTTTTTGAGATGTAAGATGAAGGGAGGGCAACAGAGAAGGTTTTGGGTCCTGTGAGTGGTAGAAACCCAAGCTCCCTTCCCTCAGTTCTCTCGGGAAGTGACAGATCATTGCAGGGAGTCAGTGCCTACAGCTCAGGAGGCCAGTCACAGTCCCCACTGTGGCACAGGGACAGGGAGCTGCCAGACTTCACAGGGTCTCAGATAGTGAAAGTACCACTAGCAATAAGCACAGACTAAGGAAAGTGATGATCTCTCATGCAATTGGCTGCAGGGACAGAATTCATACCCTAGGTAGAGTATAATCCAGACTAGGAGAACAGGATGTTACTATAAACAGAATTCCTGAACTGTTCTCAATTTAGAAGTGATGCAGCTCAGGACTGGGTCTTTTTCTAATCCTCAGGCTTGCTGTACAAGCTTGAAGTGGCCATCCACAGTCCCTAGGACTTGACTCTTCCCATTTAATAAAACAATGATGGGTTCATGTAAGACATTCACAATGAATTTGCCTTCTCCTACTGCTATAAAACTTAACTGTGAGAAAATGAGAAAGAAGCCTCAGACTGGGAAAAATATTTGCAAAGCACATTGATAAAGGAGTTGTATCCAAAATATACAGAGAACTCCTAGAACTCAAAGATGGGAAAACAATCCAGTTTTTAAAAGGCCAAATATCTGAACATCTATCTCATCAAAAAGTATACAGGTGGCAAATAATCATATGAAAAAGGTCAACATCATACCACTAGAGAATTATAAATTAAAACAACAATGTGATACCACCACACAGAGAGCAGAATTGCCGAAATCCCAAAATGTGATAATACCAAATGTTGCCAAGGATGTGGAATCACAGGAACTCTCACTCATTGCCGGTAAAGTGCAAAATAATAACACAATTTTGAAAGATGGTTTGGCAGTTTCTTACAAAGCTAGGCATACTTTTACTGTGCTAGCCAGCAATCACATTTTAGGATGTGATGTATTGAGCCAGTTGCGTTAAAAACATATCTGCACAAATACTTACACGCAAATGTTTATAGTAGCTTCATCCATAATTGCCGAAAAGCTGGAAGCAACTAAAATGCCCTTCAATAGGTGAATGGACAAACTGTGTTCATACATAGAGTGGAATATTTTTTAGTAATAAAAAGAAATGAACTATTGAGACATGCTAAAACATGGAGAAAATGTAAAAGTTTATTGCTTAAGGAAAGAAGGCAGTCTGAACATGCTACATACTGTATGATTCCATACTACAATATCTGGAAAAGTCAATATCATGGAGACAGTAAAACAATATCAGTGGTCACCAGGGGTTTAGAGGGAGTTAGGGAGGAATAAGTAGGCAAAACACTGGGGATGTTTAGGGTACTGAAATATTCTGTAGGATACATTAATTGTGATGTTA